GGTTGATTTTTCTTTGGTAAATGGCATTTAAATATATCAAACAAATATCAAAAATGTAAATCTTTGTTTTACTGTGGTTGCAAATATCAAAAAATTTCTATATGTGACACGGCACCAGAGTTAAGTTAGGGTTTTTCAAAATGCTGACACGCCGAGCTCAAAAGGTTCGCCATCCCTGGCCTAGAGAGTGTGCTTCCTTAGGTACTTGTCCGGCCCACACCCTCTGCCAGTGACATCCAGGCCTCGATATAGAAATTAGATGCTAGGCAGCCCTTCTCTCCTCCCACCCCTCAGTGCTCCGGGCCTGTGCCCACCGCGATGGCCCTGCCCTCTGCCTGCTTCTTTAGCTCCTGACCCTGCTCACCAGGATGGCCACAGAAACATGGCGCCACACACTGCCACCCACCAGGGCCCTGATGCCTACACTGAGTCGCTATCCCTCTGCTATGGGAATAAAAATAAGAAGGGGGAGCCCAGTCGGTGTGGCTCAGTGGTTGAGCATTGACCTATGAACCAGGAGGTCACGATTCAGGGCACATGCCTAGGTTGCGAGCTCGATCCCCAGTGTGGAGCGTGCAGGAGTCAGCCGATCAATGATTCTCTCTCATCATTGATGTTTCTATCTCTCACTCCCTCTCCCTTCCTCTCTGAAATCAATAAAAATATATATTTTTAAATTTTTAAATAAAAGAATAAGAATGGGAGATTCCTTGGCAAATTCTGGGCTGGGGACCCCCTGGGATTCTACTGAAGAGGAAGAAGAGGCGGTGCACAGGGAGAACAAGTGGAGACAGAAGCTGCAGGGAGAACTAGAAGACGAGTGGCAGGAGGTCAATGGGCAGCTCCAAAACGATGCTTCTCATGAGGCCCAGGAACTCCAGTCCTTTTCAGCCTGGTCAGATCACCTGGCCCGGGAATATGCCCAGAAGTGCCAGCAGCAGCCTGAGGCAAAGGGAGCTGTGCATCCCCCACAGAATAAGGGCAGGAGGAAGAGCAGTGGCTCCTTAGAGAGTGAGCCAAGGGCCAAGGAGGAGGAACTGCGTGAGAGCCAGACCAGCAGGCCTAGGAGCAGGCACAGGAGGCTCACAGGGACCCAGAGCCCAGGGCTCAGCACTCCAGACAAGCAAGGAGGGGCAGCCTCTGGCACTTTGGCAACGTGTCCTGGCCCTGCTCTGGGGGAGAGGACTGGGAGGCCATGGCTGCAGCCCTGATGGCCAGGCCCCACCCTCACCCTCACCCCCACTCGGGGGTGAACAGGGGGCTCTGAGGAGGTACTCGAGGCACACTGGCTGCTTCCTACAGTGATTCCAGAGCCAGATTGAGACCTGGAAGCTGGGTCGCGTGCTGGGAGAGGTGACAGTTCTTTCTCAAGTCCTGAATCACCATATGGAGGCCCTCCAGTGACCTCAGGGAAACAAGGAGAAGCTGTTGGGAACGCAGCCTTAAAGGCAGGGCGGCAGGAAGGACCAGTCAGAGATGGGGATGACGAGGACCAGGACCAGGGCGATGCTGCATAGCAGAGGATGTGGTGGGGTGGGAGTGGAACTTGAAAGGAGCTGGGTGGGGAGGACAAGTCACCACCACTGCTCCTTGACTCTGCCCTTTCCTAATAAGGCCTGGTTCCACATCTCATTCCCGGTATCTCCTCCTCTTTTTCCATTGCTGTGATTTTCATCATCTATGACATCTCCTGTCCCACCCCACCTGCCAAAACCCACAGCTCCTACACACCTGTGACCCACACACACACTAACACGTGCCCTCAGCTGGAGACAGGAAGCCCCTGCTGGCCCACCCGCAAGGTTGGTCCTCAGAAGGCCCAGTTTGCCCTCCAGTCTACTCCACTCTATTGAGAGATGAATGTGAACAGAGACAAAAAAAAAAGGAATGAAACCAGTTTCCCTCTCCTCCCCCTTTGCTGAGTCACTGGATAGTCTGGGTTAGGGCAGCTGGAGCTGGGGGGCCATAAGGAGGTCCTGGAAGGTCAGGGGATAGAAGCAGAATAATGGAAGAAGAACCTGTGGGAGAGTGGAATTTCAGTTGCTAAAATGTAAACAGGGGAAGTAGGCAGAAAGCCAGATTATGTAACCTGAGCTGTCTGTTCTTGCCCAACCAGGGATCCACACCGGATGCCATCTCCCCTCTGGCTTCTCAGTCCTATCTCTCCTCCAGGTCCCGAGGAAAGAGCAAAGAGGTAAAGTGGACTCAGTATAGTCAAGCTGCTAAATACTAAAGTCAAGTAGGCTGAGGAAGTGATTCTCTTCTCATTTTAATTAGCCTGGGAATTTAAACTTCTGAATTTTCCAGTCCTGCATCAGTGCCTGGACATACATCAGATCTCCAGATAACCCCTGATTATCTCTGCAGGACTCATGTATACATTAACCTGACATCATTACCCAGAGCACTGGGTGTAACCAGACCTCCTGGTGTGCATCTTCCAGACCACCTGCCATCAGTCATCCAGATCACTAGACATCTGACTGATAACCATCCTGGACCAATAATAGAGCTAAGAATGTAGGAATGGGGACCCCCGCCCCGGGATTCTACTGAAGAGAAAGAAGGGGCGGTGCACTAGGGAAGAGGGAGCCGCTAGGGACCCTATGTGCACTGGCCTCTAGTTTTACTATAAGAACTCAACTTTTCGTTCTTCTTCAGAAACACTTCTGGGTTTTTGCCTAGTTATGTCTCCAGTGTTCATACCCATGAATTAATCTTTATCACTTATTTCTAAAAAAGAAGGAGGAGGAAGGAGAGGAGGAGGAAGAAGGGAATGAGGAGGAGGAGGAGGAGGAGGAGGAAGAAGGGAATGAGGAGGAGGAGGAAAAGGAATGAATGAGGTTTCCAGTCACCTAATGACTCTCAGTTACTGGGAGAGCTTTGAAAGAGAGAGACACCTTCAAAAGATGAGAGCCACATCAAAAGACCTTCACAAGTTTTTTTAAAAATCAAGAAATTATTTGAAATTGTTAGAATCATTTGGTGAAAGAATTGAGCCTCAACTTCTATCACTTTTAAGCTGTTTTAATATATAGTTTAGTTTAGAACAAATCACGTCTCCTGCCCAGTTCCACAGCCCAGGGGACATCTGCCTTCTCCACACTCACCTGGTGCTGCCTTCTATCATGGTTTGAAATCAAAGAAAATATAGTTGCTTCCCATTATGGTTGGCACAGCTCTGTTTCCACTACACCCCACCCAGAGCGAGAACATCTTTAAGACAAGTCTGAGCAGGGCAGCCAATTTCCCCCAGAGTTAAGCAGAAAACAAGACCACAGGAGCCATCTGTGAAATTTTGCTAAACGGAACTGAATTGGGTCTGTTTGAACCCTACGAGGGTTTGCCTATGTCTCAGCCTCCCACTTCCCTGAGGCATAAAGCTGGACATATGAGGCCTGGAGGGTATCCCTGGCGGAGGAGTGACCCAACTAGGGAGGTGCCCAGGACAGACCTGTGATAGCTTTGTTGGGGAGAGAATAGGCACAGAGCGCCTATAGCCTTGAGGGAAGGCTGGCAACACCATGGGTGACCTCACCCCAAACTTTTCCACTCCCCCAGCCAACCAGACACACAAAGCCCCACCAGGTACCCAGCCCAATAGGTATATATTCCAGATGCCCACACGTATACCATCCAGATGTCCAGACACATACAGAACCAGATGTCCTTTCACATCAGACACATGACCTCACATAAACTCACTCAATCAAACATTCACACCCAAACATATCTAGATGTATACACTCCAACCAGTAACATGACACATACACACCCAGCCAGACACACACCACAGGCATAGAACCAAACACAAGCAGCACACAATAACTCACCAGCAGGAGGCACACACAGGCAGGCCCTGGTGTTAGCAGTAAAGGAACCTAAACCCAACACCGCACACAGCTGGGGTCACCACACGCACACAGGAACCCTCTCCATCATGCTGACTCGCCACAGCAACCCCATTAGCCTCGATTTCCTTCCCATCAACCAAGGAGGGGCAGCTGCTCTCTTGGGACAGATTGATTCATCCAACTAATTAGCCCCAATTAATATTAATACACATTCTCAGGAGCTGCAGCAGCTCCAGCAGAGAAGCTGCCCACTGGGGCCATCAATCACTGTCCGGGGGACGGCAGAGGACACTCAGGAACTCCAGATCACGGGGTCAGTACCTCAGGCGCTCTCGCCAACCCCAGATCCAGGGTCCAAAGGAAGATCACCACCACCAACCAAAGTTGGGGACCCTAAGCTACTGCGAGCCCACCCTTCCTTGAGCAGTCAGGGAGCCCATGGCCCAGAAGAGGCTGTCACACCCTCCAGGCCATACAGCGAATGCAAACACAGTGTGAGCTTGTCTCCGTGCCCCTCCTTCCCACCCTTCTGTCCACCACTCTAGCTGGGCTTTGCTGACACACCCAGGGCTCAGTTACTGCACCTGCAAATCCCAACCCAGTCCTAATGGCTGTCACAAGGCCTTGAAATAACCGCATCCGGGCTGTCAAAACCCTCTTCTAAGTTACATAACTTCCGGGGAGGAGCCTATCTCCAGTGACGCCCCTGTGTTTTGCATCTGTCAGGTGCTCAGCAAACATATGCAAAACCCAGTGGGGTGGCGGACAGGAGGGAGAATATGTAGACCAGGGTTCCTGTCTCAGTGAGGTTTGGGGGTGGTCTGGAGCTGAAAGAGGCCTGGCCCCATGCCTCCAGTTTCTCCATCAGTTTATTTTATTTCAACAAATAGCCCAAGTGCACACCACCATGTTACTGAGCCACTAGGAGAACAGAGAAAACACACTGCCCCTGAGCTCAAGGGCTCGAAGGACATAAATGGGGAGGAACTGGTGACACAAAGATCTAGCATAGAGCTGGAATGGGGGACGGTCCCCCCAGGCTCTCTGTCTTCTGAAGGGGATGAGGCCATGAGAGGGGTGTGTCCTGAGGTAGGACCCACCTGTTGAGATTGAGGCTGGGTGCTTCAGGGATTGAATTCTACTCACCTGCTCCCGGAGACGCTGTGCCAGGGCTGCCATCTGCTGCAGCGCCACCTCCCTGCGCCTCTGTGCCCTGGGGATCTTGTTCCGTGCTGGAGCTCGCTGCCTGGAAAGCAGGGCGGCCCCCAGCAGGGCGGCCCCCAGCAGGGTCAGCAGGAGCAGCCCCAGCAGGGGGTAAGGCAGCAACAGCATCTCCAGCATCATGGGGCCTGTGTGGATGTATCAACTGCTTCCTCAAAATCACTTGGTATTTATTTGTCAGCTACACTGCTCGAGCACCCTCCCACTTCTGGGCCCAAGGGGAAGAGCCAGGCCCTGGGTGTGGGAGGCCACAAAATCCTCCCAGCTGGTTCTTACCTCCACCTGGATTTCCTGGGGACAAAGACCCTGTTCCTCAGGCCATTCAGTGCAAGAGGCTTTGGCACAGACAAGCCTGCAGGTGGACAGATGACCAGGCTCTGATTACACCTCCTTGTCTTCCTCCTCCCTCATCTCACCCATCAGATCCCAGCACCTTAGTCTGACCGCTGCCAGTTCCTGCTAGGGTTGCCTCTGGTTTCCGGTTGCTTTTAGGATAATTGCCCTTAATATGGCTCACAGACCAGGTGGACTGAACAAGCCATGGGTGTCCAGAGTTAGCAAATCACTCTGGGGGGCATCTGGGGCCCAGGCAGAGAATAAAGGAAGGAGACCTGGGGGAGCAGGCAGGGCTCAGAAGGCATCCACCCTAGGGGAGATGATGCAAGGAAGTGAGGCCTGCATAGCCCTCACCCCTGCCCCTGTCATCCCAGGGGAGCGTTCATTCCCTACTCCCAAAGCAAGGCCACACTCTCTTCCAGAGCCATCCATTTTCTCCTTGGACCAGGAGCTCCCTATGGCACGGAGGGCAGTGGAGAGGAGTCTGGGGGGAGGTGAGGAGGTGGAGGTGACTTGCTGGAGGAAGGACAAGAAAGATGGGGAAGCTGTGAAGCAGTAGGGCAGGAGGGACTGGGTGTGTGAGCCCTTCCATTCTTGTTGGATGTTTCAGTCCTCTGTCTCAGACGAGAAAGGTGACTCCACTCTCAAAACTGGCAAGTCAGAAGCAGCAGGTTTGGTGGGATGGAGATGAGTTTGTGGTTGGTAATGTTGCATCCGAGCCCCTGAGGGTCAGACCATTGACCTGTTGATAAAGGGTACCCACCCTCTGACACTCTGACTTTGTCACCTCCAAGGGGCCGCTGGAACTAGCCCTCCTGTTGGCACACTCCCCATGTACTTGCTCTTCTTTTCTGACATATCCCCTACCCCACATCCCTCACTGAACCCTGGCACTCCCCTGGTGACTCAGTTCCTCGGGACCTTTTGGCACCTGCATCACCTCCACAGCACCAGAGGCCTTGTTACATCACCTTTTTTTGGATTGCACCCCTTCATTATCACCTCACCTCATTTTATCTCTTCATTGTATTTACTAGAAACTTAAAATGCCTTATATGTTTATTTATTTATTGCTTCCCTCCCTAGAAAAATAAGTTGCCAAAGAGCAAAGGCCTTGTCAGCCTTTTTCAAAGTGCCTGACACATGGCAGGTGCCCAATAATATTTCTTAAAGGGAGGACTGATACAGGGTTGAGCCTTCTATCCCCACCTTTAGCTGTGTGTATCTCTGATGGCTTCCTTCCTAGCAGCATTATCGTGCTTAAGTCTCCTCCATCTTAAAAAAAATTCTCTCAGTCCTGGCCGGGTGGCTCAGTTTGTTGGAATATCATCCCATACACCAAAAAGGTTGCAGATCAGTCAGGGCACATACCTATGCTGCCGGTTCAATCCCCCATCAGGGCATATATGGGAAGCAACCAATCGATGTTACTCTCTCTCTCTCTCTTCCTCTCATTAAACATATTCTCGGATGGGAATTAAAAAACAAATCTCTTAGATCTGTGTCCTTCATAGCTACTCTCCTTACATGGCTCCTCCCCCTCCCAGCCAAGCTCCTCAGATTACCTTTCAGATTGCCTTTCACTCACTCCTCCACCCAATCCAGTCGCTTTATGCCCAGGTCATCCCAAGGCTCTCCTTTGAGTTAAATCAGCAGCATTTGAAGCTTCACCTCCACCCTTCTTAATACATTGTTTGCGGGTAGTTTTTATCGCGTGCTAACAGGTGGCTCTACTTCTTACAGTCAACGTAAAACGTATAAATACGTTTCCCGCATACAATGTGTAGTATGTTTGTTCCTTGGCTTCTGTGACAATGCAGCTTTTGGCTTAAATGTCGCTTCCTTCAGAAGCTTTCCCTGATACTCCAGGCTGGGTCAGGCCCAATTTCGTTTACTCTCATAAAATAAAGTAGTGCTTCTGCTTCATTGAACTCCTGACAAGTGTTTCTGTGTGATTGTGCATTTGATGTCTGTTTGGTAGCAGAATGGAAGTTCCATTCAGGCAGGGACTGTTTCTGATTGCTGACCCTGGGCGCACTGTGAGAGGAATTCGATAGATATATTGGAGGAATGGAGGAACGGAGGAACGGAAGGGGTAGGGAGTTGGGGGGAGTGGCTGGATCAGGAATTGCAGACCAGGAGAAAGCTATAGGTTGAACTGGGGGTTATTTGTCCTTATGGAAGGTAGAGGGCAGGGACAGATTGGGATATTTCCTGTTGGGGACAAGAGAAGGAAGTATCAGAAGAGACCAAAATGGGTTCCCTAATAACACGTCACCCATTCCTCCATTCAATAAGCCTTTGCTGGGTACCCGCTGAGTACCAGGCACTGTGCAGGGTGCTGGAGCCCTGACTCTGTGACATTACCTGCCTAAGGCGCCCAGGGTCACCACTCCCAATCTACATGTTGGGAACTTGGAAGACCCAACCAAGGCTGGTTGGGAGGCTCAGTACTTAATTATATGGCCATCTCTTAAGGGTGCAGCAGATCAGGCTGCCCTGCGGGGTGATCTAGAGTGAAATACCCCAGGGCTCTTTTCTTGGCCTTAATCTGATCCATATACTTATTGGTGACTTGGATGAAGTTGGCGAGGTCCAGTGCTCAGACTTGTGGGTAGACAAGCTGGGAGGCAGAGCAGAAAGAGTGAGCAACAGTGCCAGAATCCCAAAGGCTCTCAGTAGGCTGGAGCCTTGGGGTGACTCCAAAAGATGATGTCTAATAGAAATAACGGCAGGTCCCCTGACTGTGTCCTGAACTCCAATAGCACAACCCCAGGGAGAGGAAGGGGCGGTGGACAGGGACATGACAGACACCTCCTACAAATAGACACCAGCAGCAGCGCACAGAACATGGGTGCTGCTTCTGTCTCCAGTGTACATGGGCACCTTGCAGAGAACCTGGCACCCAAAGGGTGTTCAGTGCATGTTCTTGGGATGATTGTGCAAAGGAGTCAGGCATGTGGGTTCAGGTCTTCTCTGTTCAAGTCTTTGATTTTGGACAAACCAGCAACTTTCCCTCAACTTGTGTCCCTGTCTATAAAGTGGAAATGGTGATGCCCATTGTTTCCAGTGAAATAATGGAACATAACTTCAAGCCTAGTACTATCATTAAGTCATAGTCCCTGCTTTCAATAAGCCCTTTCAACACACCTGACAGTTGTAAGAGGACAACCACCCATGCCTTAGATAAGCAGAAGTCTTGGCGATATAGGAAGAGCACTCCAGGAAAAGCAAGCACGGTGAGCAAAGGGCTTCGAGGTGGGAGGTGTGCACCTGAGGGCCACGTGGCCAGGATGTGGACACTCAGGAAGGAGAACAGAGTGTGCAGCAGCACGCAGTCAAGCATGGCCTTGTAGGTCATCGCCAAGCGTCTGGACTGAGCACAAGTGATACTAAAGATCTTAGGTGTGACCAGATTTGCAGATTTAAAAGGGTCACCCATTCCCTGAATATGGTCGCTTTCTCTAAGATGGCCACCATCAATCCCTTCAACTTCTTGTATGCATATACCATTCCCCCCTGGGAGGGAGAGTCCCTTCCTCACCCTCCTTGAACCTGGACAGCCTTACTAACTTACTGGCCCAATAGATTATGGAAAGGATGTTATGAACTTCTGAAGTTAGGTCACAAGAAGACTTGCAGCTTCTGGAAGGGCTCCTTAGAATGCTCACTCTTTTTTAAAAATATTTTTTGTTGTTTTTTAGAGAGAGAAATGGAGAGGGAAACATTGATGTGAGAGCAAAACATCAACTAGCTGCCTCCTGCATGCCCCCTACTGGGGATCAAGCCCACAACCCAGGGCATGTGCCCTGACCAGTAATCAAACAGCAACCTTTCGGTGCACGGGATGATGCCCAACCAACTGAGCCACACTGGCCAGGGCAGAATGCTCACTCTTGGAGCCCTGAGCTAACATGTAAAAAGTCTGACCATCCTGCTTCAGTGACCATGTGGAGAGGCCCTGAGTCTGCATGGAGTGGGGAAGGGCCCAGCTGAACCTACCTATCAGCTGTGCCCACCAAAGCAGCATAAATGTAAGTGAAATCATTTTAGTCACTTCAGACTAGGTCATCTGTCAGCTGACTGTCATTGGAGAATGACTCCAGTTAATGCCACATAGAGCAGAAGTATTAACCACCCAAGTTCTGCCTGAATTCTGGACTTAAGAAATTGTGATTTTTTTCAAGCCACTATGTTTTAGGTTGTTTTTGTTTGTATGTTTTTTTAACACTACAATAATCAGAGCACTGAATAATAATCTGAGGTAACAAGATAAACTATTAGAAAATTATTACCACTACCACTTAATTATCCGGCAACAGAAATGGAGAACATATGATACAGAAATAAACTTGAGCATCACCCTAGCTGGTTTGGCTCAGTAGATAGAGCATCAGCCTGCATACCGAAGGGTCTTGGGTTCAATTCTGGTCAAGGGCTATGCCCAGGTTGCAGGCTTGATCCCCAGTAAGAGGCATGCAGGAAGCAGCCAATCAATGATTCTCTTTCATCATTGATGTTTCTCTCTCTTTCTCCCTTTCTCTTCCTCCCTGAAATCAATAAAAATATGTATTTTTTAAAATAAGTCAACTGAGCATCATGTATGATTTATTTAAAAATTAAAGGGCCACCCAACTGTGATATGAAGGACAATTGGAGAACAGCCTGGAGATAGGGAAGACCAGGCAAGAAGCTGTGGCAGTGCACCCAGGAAGGGAGGAAAGGCTAAGACAGGCAGTGGCCATATGACTTAAAGGGTCTTGATGCCACTGGACCAGTGGTCAGACAGGAAGAGGAAGTGGTTGGCTTATGCTGTCACTTCTCTCTGCCTCAGCACCAGCGGATACTAGAAAGCTCACTGCATAGGTTCTGACATAGACTGACACAGTTTTTTTATTCCCATTCCCCCACTTCTACCTGTGGGCCCCTGGGCAAAGTGTGTCACCTTTCTATAAAATGGGACATGACAGGGTAGGGCCAACAAGTCTGTCACAAGCAAGCCAACGATACCAACGATTTGGTAACTAGGTGAATTAAATGGTAACTGTTAAGTGCCTAAAAGGGTCATAGTAAGTACTTGGTAAATGTCATTCAATACACCCTCCCCCCTTTTACCTGATGAAGAGTAAATGCATCACTCCATGCACTAGTGAGGGTCTTCACTGCACACCAGGTGCCTCCCGTCCTCCGGTCATTCAGCAAGTACCCTCCTGAATGTAAGCTCCAGGAGGACAAGAACCCATCCCTCATCACCGCAGTCCCAGCACCCAGTACGAGCCTGGCCCCTAGTGCACGCTCACTGAATGTTCACAGAATTGAGCGCCTTATAAGCACCATTCCACATACCAAGAATACAGTGACGAGCAAGACAGAGCACAGCTCTCAGGAAGCTCGAGTTGAGACAAAAAAATCATATGGTCCCAGATAGTGATAATGCCAAGTACAAAGGG